AGATTTCCCTTAACGATTATGATTAAGGATTCTCTTGAGTTATATGGTTATCAGGCCTTTTATCATAATTTTTTTGACCCGACTGGGACTTGCTACAACGTGTATCTGGCAGTCAACAACCACCTATTGCATTTTTGCTATAGACAAATTATGGCAAAATATATAAAACCAAGAGGTGGAAATTTACATAGCAAATTAAATGCTCTATAAAATATATATATATATATAAATATAAAGAAAAAATATTGTATTCGTGATCTGGTCTGCTGACTTGATAATTTTAAATTGCTCGAGATGCGCGTTTCTGTAGAAACATCATAAATGTGTGTTCTGCTCCGAATTGAATATGTCTACTTTAAATCTGATAAGATTCCGCATTTTCCAGAGGTCGGGCAACAAGGGTTGACATATCGTAAAACGAACAAACCAAGATCAGTGTTATGGTGTCGAATCAGGATTTCCAATGCAAGCATACCCCGATTCTCTAAAATGATGGATTCACCACTAGTGCCCATCTACCCACTTAGCTTTCTAACGGACCAGAGAATGCTTCGCCAACATCGTTCTTTTATATATATATATATATATATTCGCATTACTAATATATTTGTTTTACATTTCTATTTAGCTAAAACGATTCTCAAATAAGGAGTCTTAGGCTGTTTAGATTAAGGACAGTATAAGTAAGAATGTAACGCCGACAACCCTCTGGTCTTTTAAGCGGCTTAGACAAAGAGGGGGAAAAAAAAGAAAGGAAAGTGTGGTATAGAAGCAGGATACAAACTTGCAGACGGGGCCAATAAATATAGATCATACGTTCAGAACAGCGGAAAGAATTAAGATGTTTACTTCATTCTTGGAAGTCTAAGACGAAACCCAGTTGAAATATTTCTTTCTTTACAGAACACATTCTAGCTTAAACAAAAGGACACAATCGGATTTAGAGTTCGCTTTCGTCTTCACGTATTTTGCACGTCAACAGAAACTAACATGTAATGGCTGCATAGATCACAATCCTAGAATCTCTTAGATCAATAAAATGGCGTTGTTACACTTTCGCGTTGCCCATGAAACTGTCAACCCCACGATGCTTTTTGTCTTCAGTTTTTTTTTACTTACAGAAAAAAAAGAAAAAAACCAACAGATTTCCCTTTTTCCTTAATATTTGTTTCATGATTTGTGGATTTTAGTTATAAATAATACATTTCATTGACTTCCCGACTTTCTTTTTAGAAACTTGACAGCAGAAAAACACATTTGCAGAAACTTCTAAAAACTATTTCTAGTGTTTGTAAATTAATAATTGCGACAGTCCAACTGTAGTTATTTTAAATTAAACATTTAAAAAAAAAAGTTTTAAAAATAAGTTTTCTTTTCATGTTATAAATTCATCTGGATTTACTTTTTAGGGAGGTTCGAAACTGTAATATCGCCATAAAAATTATTTATACGAAAGTTTAAATTTTATTCCTGTTTATTAAGATGCACGTATTAGCGTTTAGCACCTAACCTACAATAACACCCACTGAAATAAAAAAAAAAAAAAATGATGTAAGTATCTCTGAATGATAAGAGACTTACCTTACGGTTGACAGTATGACGTATTTCCTATCTGTCCCGCAGATGGGCGCCGGAACTAAGAAAAAGTTAATTTCCAAGGGAGGTAAATGTCTGGCGGATATTCGCTTTGAACGCAGGCACGACGAATTTCAAAATCCATTTATCTGTCTTCGGCTAATCTTTATAAATATCAAATAAATATCACGCGTCATAAAATTGTAAATAAATAATTTTCTTCTCAATGAAACAAAGGAATTTCACACGAAACACCCAGTCTATAAAGATGGTATAACTAAGAAAAATCAGTCTTTCTTATTTGGCTGACAAGATTAACTCTTTAGAATACAACATGGCGTGAAGATTAACCAGTTTTCTTGTAGTCTAATTCGCTATTGTCGTCAGTTCGAACATCAGGTCGATTTTTTTTTCCCTTTATTACTTTTTGTTCTATTTTGTACGAAAGTCGAATTATTATTTAAATTAAGTTGGAATGTCGTCATGGAATAACCTGCGACAACATCACATAAAGGACTACAAATGTAACATGAACAACCAACGACTACTGCTTGGCGCCAGAATTAACCAATGACAGTTGGAAGAATACACTTAACAGAACGGGGGGGTTAATTCTAACCGATTCTCCACTTGTCTAAAGAAATTAAAAAAACAAACAAACAAAAAAGAAACACGAATATTACTTTCTGCAAATTTACCAGTTTTGCAAACACACTGAAGTTTTAATAATTGAAGCGGTCAAAGCTTTTCTCAATATGCAATAAAAAAAAGAGGGTCGGAAAAATTCTTTAAAGAGTTGTAACTGATAACAATAAACAGATGGTCTTAATAATCTGGATTGGGGGGGGGGGGCACCTCGGCGTCGTGCAGTGGTTAGCAAGCTTGTTCTCGCTAGAAAAATTACGGCTGATTAGTGAGTTCGATCCTCACTGGGTGCCCCATAATTTCGGCCTTGTGCCACATCTAAGCTACGCTTAGAAAATCAGCCTAATAAGTTTGGTAGTGGGTTCGGAAAATTCACTCAAAAAAATGCCCGCTGTCTTTTAAGCCTCTCAGTCTACCCATTCTTGGATAGGTAAGACTTCGGCCACTGCGCTATAATACCTGACGGAAGAGCCTGAATCTCTTCTTCTCCAGTTATGAGTAAAATAGTAGGGTAGACTGGGTTCTGTAGTCTTAGTTGGTAACCAGTCGAGACGAAAGAAAACTGTGAATTATAAAAACTGGAGAAAGCATCTTGAAAACATACCACTATGTTTCTCAACAGCAGCCATGTTAAGGATGCACAGTTTACAGAAATTAAAGAAAGGGAAGTTGTGGAGAGTCATAATCACTTACATCCTGAAGGGACATAGCACGTAAAGAAGAAGCTTAGCTAGTCCCAGAACTTATGTACGAGTTATGCACTGAGGATCTGACTCACAACGGTAGTAAAAAAATCTGTTAAGCTCTTTTTCTAACACCACATTGATCCCGAGATTTACCTTGACCCCCCCCCCTGAGTCAGGTTGTGACACAAGATCATTTTTTAACGTGAGGACCGTAGTGTTTTCACACGGGTCGCTGGTCCAAGATAGTCGGAGCTTGTCTAATTTAGTCGTAGCTGGTCATACCACCGTTACCTAACAGATGTTACGCTGCGTTGATGAGGAACGCAAGGGAGGAGAAAAATTTTCCGGTACATCTGCAAGATCCATCCCGACGGGAAAGACCTTCTCCTCCTCTGTCAATCCATCCGGAAGAATCCAGAAGGAGATCCCCGACACCACAATGAGCTTTATATAAATTTCAATTCGGTACCCGTCGTTTCACTGACGACGTTCAGATGATCAAATTTCAAATCTAAACTGTCCATTTAAAACATTACATTTATTCGAAAATGTATTAAACTTAAATACAGAAGTAGCCATTAAAATGATTTCAAATGTCCGGTTTAGACGTTTTTCCTGTTACCCTGGGGTTGCTGCAAAAGAGTAACCCTTGCAACACAAATGTCATTTAAATTGTATGTGTATTTACGGTTACGTGCACACATGCATATTTTAATTAATGAACAGAGCTAGTATATTTCTACAGAATTTTAAAAAAATACTTTAAATATAATCCTATTTATTACAGAATAATTTCCGAGGAGTTCAATAAATATATATATATATATATATATATATATATATATATATATATATATATATATATATACATAGAAATGCAAAACAAAACAAAGTTACCTTCATCCAATATTGCATAGTAAACCCCTCCATCACGGAAAATATTTACATTTTGGGGGCAGCCACTGACATTCTGTGAAGCACAGATATGCACCTGTTGGCTAAGCGGTTATCCTTCATGTCAACCGGCTGTTGTAACTGGCTTCTCAAACGGTCTGAAGTGACACCGAGTACAACGTTTCGTTTGGCATCATCTGAGGTGAATCGCATTAGTACTGCATAATATCAAATGTGGGAAAAGAGGGTAGGAAGATTGTGATGCACTAATCATACAACTGGGGACTGCTTGACAAAAGAAATTAAAACAAGAAATATGCTTTATCACGTGGTATGTGTATATTTTTTGCTCGCGTAGTGAGCATTAATTTACGGTGAATTTACATAGCAAACTGAACTTTTTCTTATAGTTTAGAAAATTAATTTTTTCGGTATATTTTTTAGTCATTTCACCCCAAACAAGGAGATAATGCCACTAAGATGCAAGGGGTTATTGGGAGTGAAAGAGAATGAGACGACTTTAATGAGGAGAAAGGACAATAAAAGAACAGGATTCACGAACATAGATTATTGCGATGGACGTTGCACATATATTTTTGAACACTGTGGGTGACAGAGAAGCAAGAAGCCAAAGGACAGTCACACAGGCAAGAAGTGTCAGCGAAGAAACTATTTGAATAGAACTTGCGGTTGCATCGAATTATTTCAACAGTAAAACGATAAGACCAAGTTGCTAATCTAGTAGTACGCTTATTCATGCGGTCGATGTACAAAGAAGGAGAGCACATTAGAAAAATTGCTATGGAAATATTTATAGAAAAGACACAGGGAAGCCACGTCAGGTGATGGCAATGTAACTGAAGTTGTGATGTCAGGTCAGGATTGATTTATTCGTTAACTTGAGGGTCTATTCGATAGGAATATGAAAAACGCTATTACAGCATGTGGCATTGTGTTCTACTCCTAATTCGTAAAGATGCACCAATAATTGCAAACAGCTAGAGCGAGATGAATAGGCATCGCATTCAAAAGCCTGGATTTACTTAGGCTTGAACACAGGCCGCTAGCACCAACCTGGAAAGGTGCACCTATCTTAGTCACCCAGTAGGCGTTCTCCGCTTTCCCCATCACTCGACAACAAGCTTCCGTATTAGTTCACATCCTCCGAATCACTTGGAATGGAATACAGACGGAAATTGCATGACTCGTCGCCAGTCTCTTTGTCTTGGGGGAGATCGATATCTGTGCAAATCCACCGTCTTTCGGTTTTCCCTCATCCTTGAAGGAAGAATTGGTTCTTTGGGGGAGAGGGGAGTTGCAGGAGAAGAATTGCTTTTTCGCTGCCAATCTCTAGAAATATTGGCATCTGAGAAGGCTTCAAGCTTCGTGCAGTCAACTGCCTCAGGATGTTTGCAACTTGTGTCTGGCATATAAGTTAACCCGACTAACACACTGACATGTTTTTATTTCTACTCTTTCTTCAATTTTTTTTTTTTTTTCAGGCAATCATTTGAGACAAGTTTTGGGGTCTTTTTCGTTAGTTTCTACCAAAATTCATAATTTCGAAATACGGAAGCCTAAAAGAAAAAAAAAAATGCAGGTTCTCTTTTTCTCGATGGAAAGGCTTAAAATATAAGGGTTTTTAAAACCCTATAATCGATCACTGGAGAAAACTAAAGATTTAAATCTAACATATTAATGCACGTTGATTATAAAAAAATTTGGTTTAACAAAAAGCCTCTAAATACAATAAAACGGCAAGTTCTATATTTCTATTTCTTTTTTTTCTTAATTTAAATTTTAGACAGCCTGAATCTCTTTTGAGGACAAAGGAGTAGATAGATTCGCCTATTGCCCGGTTCACGCTTCTTCTGTTTTTTTATTGTTCTTTCTCCTAACGAAAGTCACACTTCTTATCTGTCTTTTGAACAGTTTATCCTTGGTTTCCTCTTTAGGATTGTGTTTCCAATTCTTTTCCTTGTCTTTTACTTCCAAAAGATCCCGCCTTATATCTTGTGACTTTATCGTTTTGCTTAGGGTGAATTGATTAAAATATATGTAACTGACCTGAAAGCAATAAATAAATAAATAAATAAATAAATAAAAGAAACAAGACTGACCGTTAAAGAGTGAAGTCGAATAAAACTTTTGATTCTCCATGATTAAATGGTAGTTAAAACTTGGTCTCAAACTAACACCACAAATTGAGCTCTGAATCATTTTAATTCATTTTAAGTAACAGTATTTTAAAATTATGTCCATTAACTTTAGTGTAGACTAACGAAAAGGCCCTCTTGAATTTGTTTTTAAGGAATATTTAATATTTACAAAAACAAAACTCATTTTCGCCAGAAGAATTATTTATTTATATCTTTATTTTCGGATCATGCTGCATTCAGTTGCCAGCTGTTCAAGGCCCAATGATTTGATGAGAAATAAGTGTTTACATGTCTGATATATCTTTGTATTAATAAAACCTTTCAAACTGTCGTCTGGGATTGCACAGAAGGTAATGGTGGTCGCTTTTTGCTGCTGCTTCTAAAAACGATTTCGTTGCTAAGGATAAAAAGACAAGGTGGAATTCTGAGGTTATCTTGAGTATCCGCATGCTTAAAAATAACTTAATGGCTGTCATGACACGAGTGAATGTGATTATTAGTGAAGGAAATAGAAAAAAAAAAACGAGTGAATTATTTTGACATTAGGCAAAACATAGGAATACACGCAGACAGACGCAAATTTCCAGGTTTCTCTCAATCAATTATGTATATATGACTTTGTGGCTGACGCCAGTAATGTCCGTGTTTGGGCAAAAAGCAGAATTGCAAATGCTGATCTTTCAGATTAGCAAACCCGGCCAATGCGAGGATTGATTATTAAGCTATATTTTCCTTTTAAAGGATTTCGCATGTAAAAGTTAGAGAATGTGTAGCGTACACCTCAGTCATCTAGCCTTCTTTTTTTTTTTTCTCTCTCTCTCTCTCTCTCTCTCTCTCTCTCTCTCTATATATATATATATATATATATATATATATATATATATATATATATATATATATATATATACCTAAAATATATTTTAAGGTATGCTATATTTATGGGCTAGTGCTCAATATTAGGAATAGAGCGTATGTAAATATAAAAAGTGGATATTGAAGTCAACACCGAGAGATGACAGTCTGTCTCATGCTAAACGCATTTGTCAGGCCATGTATCTAACGATTGTGTAAATATATATATATATATATATATATATATATATATATATATATATATATATATATATATATATATATAACGATTGTGTTATACTTTAACGCAGTGTAATGGTTAGTAAACTTATCTTACTAGATCAATGACGACGTAATTGTGAGTTCGGTCTCCACGGAGCTCTCTCCGTACTTTCGGCCGTGCATTACATCTAAGCTACGCTTAATTTAATATTATATATATATATATATATATATATATATATATATATATATATATATATATATTTAAGTTATGAAAAACTTGGTAATCCGTATGGGTAATCCCAAGGAGGATGAAATCCTGAGAGCTCAATGTAAATCCAGAGCAAATATTTTAAAGAAAAACAGACCACTTTAATGTACCATTATATATATATATATATATATATATATATATATATATATATATATATATATGTGTGTGTGTGTGTGTGTGTGTGTGTGTGTGTGATAGCAAAGGAAGAGTGTCCATGGATGCCTCTAATTATATGTAGATACAGTAGGTTGATGAAAGAAAACTGAGAGATAATATATATATATATGTATGTATGAATGTATAAATGTGTGTGTGTATATATGTATATATATATATGTAGATATAGTAGGTTAATAGTATATTGATGAAAGAAACTTGAGAGAAAAATGTATGTTATACATATAAAAATAAATGTATATATATATATATATATATATAAGTAGATATAGTTGTTTGTTCGTATGTTGATGAAAGAAACTTGAAAGATAAAAATGCATATATATATATATATATATATATATATATATGTATATATATATATATGTAGATATAGTAAATTGATTGTATGTTGATAAAAGAAACTTGAAAGATAAAAATGCATATATATATATATATATATAAATGTGCATATATACATATAACAGTATATATATATATATATATATATATGTAGATATAGTAAGTTGATAGTATGTTGATAAAAAGAAACTTAAAAGATAAAAAATGTATATATATATAAATGTGCATATATATATAAAAAATATATATATATATATATTTATATATATATAATAAGTTGATTGTATGTTGATAAAAGAAACTTGAGAGATAAAAAAAAAATTATAATATTGGTAATAAGACTAATAATATTTATTGTACAGTGTAACCCGGATATAAGAGAGTTGTCGGGACCGGAGAAGAAGTCTCTTATATCCGGGTTTGGTCTATTTTATATACATTAAAACAGGCTCTAATTTGGGACCAGAGAAAATCTCTCTTATATCCGGGTCTCTTATATCCGGGTTACACTGTATATTGTATGTCTTTTGACCAAATGTAAACATTGATGATAAAAAAATATTAAAAATCGCAATTTACGAACGCGCCTGTTTCCTTTTTCAGCCCGAAATTAAAATTGAAGTTGGGTTTTTTATGGAAGGTCGGTCCGCATGTGTAACATTACTGATGAGATATAAGGGATTTTTTTTACGAGTTTTATTCTTTTCGCCGAAAGTCTGAGTTAAAATACATTTTCAAAATGAATTCACACGTTTAAGAGGGATTTAGGTATACTCAATAAATACAATTTCCATAAAAAGCTTTCCACACTCCCTCTACCACCCTAATCGTGCCAAACAACTAGCCCCAAATTAGTAGATTTCATCGCTAATATAACACACGCTACCCCCACCCTAAAAAAAATTCACATTTAACTTTTTTTTATTTCTGGTTGAGAAAGGACACATGGAGGCCCGTAAATTTATTTATTTATTTTTATTATAAAATTTTATTTATAAATTTATTTTTAATATCTTTCTCAAGATGCTGTAGAAAGCCCACCAATAAATACTATTAGTCATGTTATCCATATTATTATTTTTATTATAGATATAATTTTTTGTTACTATTTTTATATATATATATATATATATATATATATATATATATATATATATATATATATTTTATATTATTTTTTACATAGATATTATTATTATTTTCATTAAATATATATTTTTATTTTTATTATATATGTATTTTTTATTATTTTATTACATATATTTTTTATTATTATTTTCATATATTTATATATATATATATATATATATATATATATATATATATATGTATATATTTTATTATTATTTTACACACTAGAAGGATTTCCTAAATACATTAGTTATGCAGGAAGACACCTCGCCACCCGCGTCCGTGGCTTTGGGTCCCGCGTCCACAGGACACTCGAGGGATGCACTGGTCCGACCTTGTGTCCAATGAGGAGCTCTGCCGCACTACCCCTGTGTTCGCTAGTTCAGTCACGTCTTGCAACGACCACATGATCATCCTACCAGAATCATTTACCAGTTAGACCTGCCATCTGCAAGCTGGCGACGACCTCGTGGCAGACGACGTAGCCGCTAGAAGGATGTCGTCCACCAGGACCTCCTGCAGTTGAATTTTCCGCTGGAGGATGTTCAGGCGCTCTGCCAAGATTGTGAGAGTCAGAAAGACTCAGGCGGCTCTCGTGGGCTCAACACCTTCATGGGATGAGGTTTAGTAGCAGCAACTAAATTACTTATAACCAAATATGGTTTCAACTATACCTTTGATCTCAAGAATGCAACACTTAGAAGAGAAAATAACTTCGACGAAAGATTTGTAAAAGAGGAATTATCGAATCTTATCAAAATTATTATCTACACTATTTATATGCGGACTATTGTCCTCATCTTTGTTATTGCTGTTATAACGTTTCGGTCGTTGATCCCTCCGGCCTTCATCAGGTGAATTTCGAACTTAACTCTTTATTTAATCTACGTGGGTAGATTGTTCTCGTTCCACTGCCTGTGTCTACGGATATCTCATCTAGTTCTTATTTTTAGTAGTGCTCAGTTATTGCTTGCCCTATTTCAACTGAATCCAAATGCAGACTCCTCTAGAGTTCAATCCTTGGGTTGAGTAGTGGGGGCTTGGACTCAGGCGAACAATAACTGAGCATGAGCAGTACTAAAATATAAAACCTAGACGAGGTATCCCTAGACAAGGGCAGTGTAAAGTTATCAAGCAGTCTAGACACAGACGTCAGTTTAGAAAAATAACAATTGCCAAACATCGAGAAAGTGAGTAAGAATTTAGAAAAATGGCGAACTATAGGAAATTTTCGAAAAGTATTTTAAAGCTTTCAGAACATAGGCAGATTCTACACAGATTCAGTTGCTTTTATGATCTGTGAATTGTCAAGCATTCTTGGAAGATAATCGGAGTGATTTCCACATTGTCTTCTTAAGGTTTTAGAATTGAGAGTTTTCCTTCTCTTAGATTAGGTAACTCTCAAAGCTAGAGAGATCAGTCTACTCTACTAATTAACCCTAATGTAGGTGGGAATAAGAGACATATTCATGCCTTTCCCAAGGGCATTAGTACGAAAGTCAACATAACAGATTAAGACGAAACTTGAAGCTGATATACTAAGAAATGCAATGCGAGAAAATTCGAGTACAAAGCTTTTTTCAGGGATTCGATGATTTATTGCAATTTTTTTTCTTCTGAATTTTCAATATAAGGGGACAATATTGTGGTTTACCTCAGCCGTAACTGAGCCGGCCGAAAATTTACTTGTGGCAGAAACTACCTTTCAGTCGTTTTGATAGTAATTTGAAGTTGCGAATTCGCCGTGCCTAGAGATGTTTAGTTTCTGACCAAAGGCATTATAGCCAGGCGGGGCAGAGACACTGCTCTGTCCATTAAGACGTCTGGACATAAAGATCCTTACGACTTCCTGTTTGAAGAACAAGCCACCTTCTTCCCCCGACCATTCGCATTATCTATTACAATAAAGACTTACGAACACACATATATGCTGTATTCGGCGAAATAAAATATCGCAGTAAAAACTATACTGGTTAAATCTCTCTCTCTCTCTCTCTCTCTCTCTCTCTCTTTCTCTCTCTCTCTCTTTCTTCTGTTTCCGGTACGCGTCAACCAACATCAGATCCCGAAGAGATTCAAGGAGGAAGAAGCAAACATTAAGAACGACTACAACGACATCCTCCTTTATGTAAACTCTGCCACCATCCCCGATGAATGTTACAGATGGGGGGGGGGAGAAGTGGACACATGGTTTTGCACCACATTTATTGACGAATAGGGAAGACAGTGATTGCAGGAAATCGAGACGGGATGGGGTGGGAGTTATTTATATATATATATATATATATATATATATATATTGCTGAATTTTCTATATTTATGGTGAAAGAGTACTCAGTATCGGAGATAGAGCGCTTATGCAGATATAATATAGGCAGTGTAGACGCGGGAGTTAACACTGCATGTTGACTATCAGTTTGACACTTCAATTCGATCTTCAGATTTTCACGCTGCAATGAAACCTTGATCTGATAATTGAAGCGTAAAACAGATAGACATTATGAAGTAGTGAATGCTATGTGCACATTATCTATATCTATCTATCTCAGTCTGTTCATTATCTATCTATCTATCTATCTATCTCAGTTTATTCATTTTCTATCTATCACAGCCTGTTCATTTTCTATCTATCTATCTATCTATCTATTTCAGTTTATTCATTTTCTATCTATCTATCTATCTATCTATCTATCTATCTATCTATCTGAATAACTGATTTTTTTCTTTAACTATCATCATCAGAGTCCGATTTTCACTAGTTTCAACTTTATTTTCAAACTTCCATTTTTGTTTCCGTATTATCTGTCGTATATTACGCACGTATGTTATCAGGAAGTCACCTAATTGATTAATAAACCATAGTGAGGTTCGAACCCAGGAGTCAGAAGGATAACGTTCTAATCACTCAGCCATGCGCCGATTTGACTCTATTGGTGTTGAAGAAATTAAATCTTCCTGAACAGGCGTCTGCAACAGGAATTCATTCGCTACCCGGGAAGAATAGTTTATTCGAAAACCAGCAGCTTTTATCTATCTATTTAGATACAGTTGAGAAACATGTTATCATAAGTTTAACTTACAGTAACAATACAGAATTATATCTCTATTTATTTAACATTCATGTGTGAATTCACACATGAATTTGAAACAAAATCGATACCTTTCATCAACATCTGATTAATACGTAACAATAACAAATAAGGTTTTATAGTTTATATATATATATATATATATATATATATATATATATATGTGTGTGTGTGTGTGTGTGTGTGTGTGTGTGTATTCTTGTCTAACAGGCCTTCCAATTAGAAAAGGCCGTAGAATGGATCGCCCGAAACGATAAAGAATGAAGCTCATTTCAAAGAATTAACTCTTAGAACGATAAATATTCTCCCTGAAATGATAAACAATAAAATTATGTCTTACTGTTGCGTTAACAAAAACTTCTTTCTATTAGGATTTCTCTTTGTTTTACTAGCATGGAATGCAAACATTATTTTAAATCCTTCCAGTCAGATTAGTGTTTAATAACGAAACTCA